AGTGACACTGCCCAGGGACACTGCCAGTGCCCAGTGACAGTGCCCAGGGACACTGCCCAGGGACACTGCCAGTGCCCAGTGACCAGTGACACTGACCAGTGACCAGGGACCAGTACCAGGAACACTTGCCCAGGGACACTGCCAGTGCCCAGTGCCCAGTACCAGTGCCCAATGTCCAGTGACACTACACTGGCCAGTGACACTGTCAGCACCCAGTACCAGTGCCCAGTACCACTGCCCAATGCCCAGCACCCAGTGCCCCTGCCCAGTATCAGTGCCCAACACCAGTGTACAGCACCCAGCGTCCAGCACCCAATGCCCAGCATCCAGTACCCGGTACCAGTGCCCAGTGCCCAGCACTAACACCCAGCACCACTGCCCAGTGACCAGCACCCAGTACCACTGCCCAGGACCGATGCCCAGCACCAGCACCCAGTACCAGCACCCAGCACCCAGTCCCAGCGCTCAGCACCAACATCCAGTCCCGGTCCTCAGCACCCAGCCCCCCAGTCCCAATGCCCAGCACCCAGTCCCAGCGCCCAGTGCGAGCCCCCAGTGCCCCGGGGGTGCCCCCCGTGCCCCCGCAGTGGCACCTGAAGGCGTGGCAGTGTCGCTGCTGGCGCTCGGTGAGCAGTCGCAGGGGGTCCCTGCAGCAGTAGCGCTGCTGGCAGGTGCCACAGCAGAAGGTGAAGAACTCGCAGTCGAAGCCCGGGTGCCACGAGCCGTTCTTGTCCACGTACCACAGGCAGTCCTCGCCCCCGGCCACTGCGGAGGGTCACCTGTCACCGGGGCCTCGGGCCACCCGGCCACCCCCGCCCCGGGGGCACCGGCAGCGCCACACACACCCGCGCCCCACGTGGCACAGCCTGGACCCCTCCGTGTCCTGGGCCGCTGCTCCCCTGCGCCCTGGTCCATCCTGCCCCAGGGACCCTCAAAATGTGCCCCCAAAACCCTCCTCCCTCCTGCCCCACGGCCCCCCAAACTGTGCCCCTATGTACCCCCAATATTCTGCTCCATCCTGCCCCACAGACCCCTCCCTCCTGCCCCACGGATGCCCAAAACATGTCCCTCTGTCCCCCCACCTCCCGTCCCTGTGCACCCCCCCCATTCTGTCCTGTCCCACCCCCTTGCAGACCCCCCTCCATCCCACGCAGCTCCGGGACCCCTCCGATCCACTGAGCCCCCCGTCCCCCTCCCGGATGCTCCAGTGGCACCTCCCGTCCTATTTCTGGCCGGAGCCACCTGTTTTCCCAGAAACAGCCGCGAATCCAGGCCCGGGGGCGGCAGGAGGCGCGGGGACAGCGGGCGGGGAGCCGCGGCCGCGGGCTTCCTTCCTCCCGCGGGGGTCTCTCGGGGGGCCGCGCACCCCAAAAAGTGCCCCCGGCAGCTCAGGCCCGAGGGGGGAAACTGAGGCACGGGGGAAGCGAGCGTGGGAAGCCCCCAAATCCCCTGGGATGGGCATCCCAGCTCCGTGCCCACTGCTCCCTGGGACCGGTGGCTCCCGGGGACCCCGAAAATGGGAAATGGGGGGGTGTTTTTCGTGGGGGACACAGAGCCCGGGGGGGGCACGTTGGTGAAAGGGGCCGCGTGTGGCGAGTGACGATCACGGCCGGTGGCCCCAGCAGGAGCCCCGGTCACGGGCGGTGTCACCGCGTCCCATCGCAGGGTGATGGCACCGAACTCCCCCTCCCCGGGCCCCCATGTCTCACCCATCGAGGTGGCCATGGCCACCAGCAGGGTCCCGGCCAGGGGCCACCCGCCCCCGGGGCCGCCGGGCCCCATCGCGGGGCCGGGCCCGCTGTCCCCGCTCAGCGCTGCCCGGGGCGGGGGCGGAGGCTGCGCTGCGGCACCGGGGCCGCTCCTGGTCCCTCCCGGTCCCTCCCGGTTTCTCCCGGGGCCGCGGGGCCGCTGCCGGTGCCTCCCGGTGCCTCCCGGTGCCTCCCGGTGTCCCCTGGTGCCGCCCGGTGCCTCTCGGTGCCGCTGTCTCCCGGTGCCGCAGTGCTGCTCCGAGTGTCCCCCGGTGTCCCCCGGTGCCTCCCGGTGCCTGCCGGTGCCCCCCGGCGCGGGGCGGGCGCAGGCCCGCAGTGACGCCGCAGCCGGCGGCGCTCGGTCGGTCCGTGCCCGGTGTCTCCCCCCGCGGCACCGCCCCCCGCCTCAGCCACCGGCCCCCTCCCGCCCCCGGCGGGAGGAGCGGCCCCGCCGGCGCCGGGCGCGGCCGGGGAATGAGGGGATGTCCCGAGTGGTCCCTCCGGCACCGTCCGCCACCCCCCCCGCCCCCGGTGTTTCTCCTCTGCCTGCACCACGTCCTTTCACGGGCACCCCTTCCCCCCACACCGCTTCCTGCAGCCAACCCCTTCCCTATCCCCTGCACCCCAACTCCTCCACCCCACCCCACCCCTGTGCCCCTTATTTCCCTCCTCTGCACTCCATCCCTTCCCTTCACCCCTTCTCCCACCTCATCCCACGCCTGCACCCCTTATTTCCCTTTCCCGCACTCCATCATTTCCCCTCCCAGCACCCCTTGTCCCACCCCAGCCTTTCTCTGAATCCCTTATTTCCCTCTCCCTGCACCCCATCCCCTGCACCCTTCCTGGCTACCCCCTTGCCCCCTCCCCTGCCCCCCAGCCTTCTCCTCTACCCCTTCCCCTCCCTGAGCCCCCTTTCCCAGCTCCCCATCCCAGCCAGGCTCACTGGGTGCTGGGTGGGCACAGCTGGACCTGGGGCACCCCCCTGGGCACTGGGGAACCCCCCTGGCACTGGGAACACCCTCCTGGGCACTGAGGGCACCCTCTTGGGCACTGGGGAACCCCCCTGGCACTGGGGGCATCCCCCTGGCACTGGGGGCATCCCACCACTGCCCTGAGCACAGCTAGAGACCAAAATCCCTGAGTCCCAACCTGGCAGCACCAACTGTCCCCAGGGATGGGGATCCCGGGAGGGGACAGGGCTGGGGACACAGAGGTGACACATCTCGAGGGTGACACATCCCAAACCCCACCTTTATTAGAGACCAGAACCCCAAACTGAGGATGACATCGGGGGTCACAGTGTCACCATCAGCACCACGGTCAAGGTGTCACCATCACCATCAGGGTGACGGTGTCACCATCAGCATCGGGGTGACACTGTCACCATCAGCACCAGGGTCACAGTGTCACCAGTGTCACCATCAGCACTGCGGTGCCGGTGCCACTGAGGCCACATGGGGTGGGAGCCAGCCCGTGTCACCCCACTGTGCCTCCCCTCCATGTCCCCACACTGGGGCAGGGGGTCCCTGGGCCAGCCAGGCTGTGCCCCCCGGCCCGGGCTGGGGGCTCTGCTCACACTTGTGTGACGATCTCGCCGTTCTCGGGCACGTAGAGCTGCACGGGCACCCCGGGCACCGAGCGCCGCAGCACAGGGGGGGCCTGGGGGCATGGGGAGCACTTGGGTGCCAGCACCCCACCCTGTGCTGGGCACCCCACCCTGTGCTGGGCACCCCCCAGGGCAGCCCCGGGGGCACCCCCACCCTGTGCTGGGCACCCTGGAGCAGGACTGGAGTCCCTGCAGGTCCCTGGGGCAGGACCAAGACCCTAAAGGGGCTCCTGGGGTGGGACTGGGTCCTACAAGGGCCCCTGGGGCAGGACCACGGTCCCAGGAGGGTTCTTGGGGTAGGATTGGGGTCCCACGAGGGTCTCTGGGGAAGGACCAAGACCCTAAAGCGGTTCTCAGGGTGGGACCAGGGTCCCACAATGGTCCTTGGGGCACGACCAGGACCTTAAGAGGGTTCCTGGAGCAGAATGGGGTCCCATGTGGGTCCCAAGGGCAGGAGTGAGACCCTAAAGGGGCGCCTGGGCACCCCCTGGGGCAGGGGCTGGGGAGGGTTGTGGGGGCACAGCTGTAGGTCCCCACTTGCCTGATGTTGCTGTGCCATGGGGAACCCACCCCAGTGGGACCAGGGAGGAGGGGGGGACTGGCCCCCAAAATGTCAGCAGGGACCCCCCTGCCCAGGGGCACCCCAGTGCTGCCCCCAGGACCCCCGTGGGTCCAGCTGGTGGGACCCTGGCTATGACCAGAGGGACTCACTGAGACCCCAATCCCACCCCAGGGACCCCCTTAAGGTCCTGGTCCTGCCCCAGGGACCCTTGTGGGACCCCCATCCTGCCCCAGGGACCCTTGTAGGACCCCAGTCCTGCCCCAAGGACCCTCGTGGGACCCCAATTCCTCCCCATGGACGCCCTCAGAACCCCACATACACTCTGGGGACCCCACCAGAGCCAGATATCCCCTGACCCCACCTCAGGGTGACCCCTCCCCGCAGGGCAGCCCCCCGGGGGTCCCCCCCGCCTCCAGCCCCCGTGTCCTACCTGGACTCGCGAGAGCACGGCCCGGGAGAGGGGCCCGTCCCCGGGGATCCCTCCGGGGGGTCTCCCGAGGGCCCCCTCCCTGTCCAGGGAGTGCGGCCGCGCCCCCCGCAGCCGCGCGCGCTGGTGCCACGAGCGGAGCTCCTCGGTGACGGCGGCGCGGGAGAGCCCCCGGGCCCCGCCGTAGTCCTTGAGCGAGGGGGTCCGGACGATGCGGGAGCGGGAGGGCACGAGGCGCTGGTACCGCAGCGGGGCCAGGTCCTGCTCCAACAGGAGCCCCGGGGGGGGGCGGCTGGACGCGGGGGGGGCCCCGCGGGCACGGCCCGGGCAGGGGCAGGGACGCGGCGAGGGTCCCGTCGGGGCCGGAGCCGCCCGGGGAGGGCGCGCGGGACGCGCTGGACACGCTGGACACGCTCTCGGCCGATCCCGAGAGGAACGAGGGGCCCGCGGGCGGTGGGAACGACACCACGCAGTGCGGGGGGCGGCGGCGGGGCCCGGGGGGACGGCCCCGGGGCTCCAGGGGCGGCCAGGGCAGATCCAACCTGGGAAAAGAGAGGGATCACCCTGGGGGGGGACAGGGATCCAGCCTGGGAAAAGAGAGGGATCACCCTGGGAGAACAGAGGGATCACCCCGGCAGGGGACAGGGATCCAACCTGGGGAAAGGAGAGGGATCCATCCTGGGGAAAGGAGAGGGATCCATCCTGGGTGAAGGACATGGATCCATCCTGGGGAAAGGTCACAGAACCCCATGGGAGGTGAGTGGAACTAATCCCATGGCACTGGAGCTCCAGCCTCCCATGGCATTATCTCCATCCTCCCTGTGGGGCCGAGCTCCAGCCTCCCATGGGGCTTTCTCCAGCCTCCTCCCATGGGATTATCTCCATCCTTCCTGTGGGATTTTCTCCAACCTCCTCCCTATGGGCTGAGCTCCATCATCTTCACAGGGTTATTTCCATCCTCCTTCCTATGGATTGAGCTCCAGCCTCCCCATGGGATCTCTCCCATCCTCTCCATGGGAGCCTCTCCATCCTTCCCATGGGATCCTCTCCATCCTCCCCATGGGATCCTCTCCATCCTTCCTGTGGGATCCTCTCCATCCTCCCCATGGGATCCTCTCCATCCTTCCCATGGGATCTCCTTCATCCTTCCCATGGGATCTCCCCCATCCTCCCCATGGGATCCTCTCCATCCTCCCCATGGGATCTCCCCCATCCTCTCCATGGGATCTCCTCCATCCCCTCCCCACGAGGTCCCCCCCTCCTTCCCCCATGTCCCCTGCCGTGCCCAGGCCGTACCTCCAGGCCTGGCTCTGTCCCCTCCGTGCCGGTGTCTCCGGGGTGCCGGGAGCGCTGGATCCTCCCTGCTGGCACAGCACCAGGGTCCTCACAGGGACAAACCGGTAGGGAGGGTCCCCTGGCCTGGCCCCCGGGGGGGCTGCAGGGTCAGGGCTGCCAGGGGCGGCCGGGGGGGACCCCAGGGGGGACCCCAGGTAGCACCGGGAGCTCCGGGTTTCCCCATCCCCGAGGTTGATTCCAGGATTTCTGCCCCTCTCGTAGGGTCTGTCCAGGCTGGTCTCCCGCCAGGGGCTGGGGGAGGATGGGGGTGGTCCCGACCCCTCCTCCTCCTCCTCAGTGGCATCCTCAGGGGACGGGGACCTCTGTGGGGTGGCAGGTCCTGGTGGCTGTGTGTCCTCTGTGGGAGAGAGGGAGGGCTGGGATGGAGGAGGCATGGGGGGGGATGGGATGGGATGGGATGGGATGGCATGGCATGGCATGGCATGGCATGGGATGGCATGGGATGGCATGGGATGGAGGGGACATGAGGGGGATGGTGGAGGGGACAGGTGGATGGTTTGGATGGAGGGAACAGGCAGGGAATTGGGATGGAGGGGACACACACGGTGGGATGGAATGGAGGGGACGTG